AAAGTTTGTTGTTTTCTCTCTCTCCTATCCATTTATTTATTGATAATGATAATGATGATGATGATGATGAAGTAATAAATGAGATCCAGTTATTATTGTTGGCCATTATCATTTTAATACTTATAATAATAATGATTTACCTCCACCTTTATACCAATCAATTATGATGATGATCTTTTAAATTGATGAAATCTATCTTATTCTTTTTTTTCAGAATAAAAATGATTATACCCTTATGGTTGAATAGGTTTTTTTAAATCGATTTTTTCCTATCGATTTTTTATCCATCTATCCATTTATTTATTTCAACTATATTTGATGATGATGATAATAATTTAGGTGTAGTAAATATTATTATTATCATTATTAAGATACGGTCAGTACATTTTTTTCCAAATCATAATGGTAAAGTGGTGAAAAAACTGATGATGTCCAATGCATAAACAAAATATAAATCAATACAAATCATATCACAGAATGTGAAATTGAAAAAAAATGATTCAATTTGAAAAATTTTCAATTCTATTTTTTTTAAACAAAGTTTTTGTCTAAAATTTATCGACTAATTCAGTTAGAAATTAAAAAAATTGCATGCATTTGAGCAATTAATTTTAATTATTTTACTTTTCTCTATTCTATAACACATTTTTTCTATTTTGATCGATTTTTTTGTTTGTCATTTTTTTGGAAGGGGTTGAAAAATCCTCCATCATGATATAACAATATTCATTTTTTATGAACCTGATTTTTCTCATTTTCATTCGAAAAAAATGAAAATGGAAAACGTTTGTTGTTTGTGTCAGACTTGAAATAAACAAAATTGATGATTACAATCAAATTCTTTTTTTTTGTTGCCATTCATATCTCTCCAGAGATTTTGACCATCAAAAAAAAATTCATTTTATTCGTTTATCGAAAACTGATTCACTCATTATATTCATTGATTTTATCCTGTTATATCTGATCGAATGTGTTATTCTCTGGTATCTAAGGATTATACTCAATCTTTTATTTGTGATCAAATACGACAGATGTTTGGTTTTTATGATTTTGTCATTCATAATAAATTTCTATAATTTTTGCAATGATAACAATATGGTTTTACCCGATTATTCATACACCTTTTGGTTCTAAATTTATTTTTTATTTTCAATTTATAATTGAATTCATCATTTTGATTTTTTATTTCGCGTATTGCAAATAAATGCTACAACAACAACAAAAAAAGTTACTCAGTCAATTTTTATTCGGGTTGAAAATTATGTAACCGATTTTTGTTATTTTTTGCACTACATATATCGCACATAGATGATATGTCAAAAAATGAATGTTTTTATGGTTTTACAATGCTGATTTCAAAGATTCGTCATCATCATAAAGTTTTTTTCCTTGTTTTTTCCATTTATATTTGAACCACCATAAACCCATTTTGATAATTATCTTGTTACAGAATTTTCGTTTCGTTCTCTTTATACCCTTGTTGTTGTTGTTGCTGCTGATGATATACACAACAAACCAGAAACTTTTCACATCCTATTCAGTTTTTTTTCTGGTCATGGTCTATGATGAGGTCCCTGGAGAAGATTTATACTCATTAAATACATTGCTTTAACCACGAACCAAAAACAGAAAAATGTTTTTACAATGTTCAGTTTTTTTTATTTGAAAATGAAATAAAATGAATTTTTTTTTTGCTTTCCATTTTGATTTTCTATATAAATGACCAAATTGGGACGAATTTGATTTTATTATTTTGGATTTTTCTTGTTGATGTTTGATAAAAATAGTGTTCATCGTTGAATATGATAAGCAATAGTCATTAATATTTTCTTTTCGATATTTGCATCATTCCTGTACCTTGATATATGTAAAGATCATAAACGATACGATTAATGATAATGATGATGATGATGGTCGAGTTTGAAAATTCCATCAATTTTTTTTCCTCTTTTGATTTGAATTCAATCAAATAACTTGAAAAAATAGATACCAAATTACTAATGATGATCATTATTACAAAATAATAAATAAGCCAGACATCGATCATTATCATTATCAAAAAACTGACAAATACAATTGTATCGTGTCATTTATTCACATGTATGTATTTAATGAAAATCTTCCTATTGTAATTCTTTCATAATATAACAATAATCAAATCTTGATGATGCTAATGATGTTTGTTTGACGAATCAAAAGCGGATCCATTGTTGTGTGATGAATAAAATGGGTGCGTTTTTTTTGTTGGTCTTATGATCATAATGGGTATGGTGGTTTAGGTGTCAACAACAACAACAATCATCATCATCATCGTTTCTATTATCAGAAGTTTTTCTTTTTGATTTTAAACTGAAAAAATAAATTATTGTTCCAATTTCCTTAAGTTGATGATGATGATTGTTTATTTGGTCATTTGAGTTATATCTACTATTAAATGTTCATCATGATTTGGAAAAAAAGAACCACTTTTTTCAATTTTTGGTTCATCATTTTATTTTACCGAAAAAAACAACAACAACACAAAAATGTAAACCCTCATTGTTCATCACCTGCACGTCTTTCCTGTTGACCTGACTCTTGTCGTCTATTCCATAACATTATGAATGTTTTTTTCTTTCTAATTCTGGTTTTATTGGTTTGAGGCTGTGGAAATGGATTTCCATTAATCAATTTTCACTGACAATCATAGTCACATAAAATATCCAATAAGCATTCGTAAATAAATATGTTTTTGTGTTATTGTATAATAAATAGAGAAAGAAAAAGAGAGAGGGTAATTAGTTGAATTATAATTAGATGTTTCACATACAGAAAAAAAATTTATTTACTCATCGAATGACTGAATGATAATGATTATAATAATAATTTCAACAACAACAACGATAACAATGATGACAATTCAAGTAGTTAATGGTAGTTGTTCATTTTTTTAGATGATTTCCAAACCGATTTTTTAATGATTATTTTATCCAATTTTTCCAGTACCTGTATTGAATTACAACAGTTCCAAAAACACAAACCAGCTCGTGTGTGTTGATGTGTGTGCGTGTGTTTGTGTGTGAATGTAAGAAAAAAAAGTCTCAATGACCAATGACAAATAATTGATGACCATAATGAAAATCGAACTTATAATTATGTCAAATTTTATACAATGATTATGATTATGATTCTCATTTTTTTTGAATATAACTGAAATCACGTAATTTTTTTTTCTTTTTGATTATCAAACATGTACCATTCTTTTTTCAATTGATTTTCTAATAGAAATCAATTGAAATATACGTTGTTCGTAATAATATCTTGATTCATCGATTAAAAGTTTTTTTTGATTGAATTGTGGTGAGGAAACGTAAAAACAATTACCTTACTCACTCTCAGGTTAATTTTCTTTGCCATTTTAATGTCGTTGCCATAACAGTTAATTATTTTGTTGAGGAAAAATAATTATAATTATTTTTTTAATAATTAAAAAAATTATTTCAAATTGATTTATAATCCGAAATAAACTTGAATTTTTATTTTCCCTTTTTTTCAATTTATTAGTCGATGTATCATTTGGAAACGGTTTTTTTTCAATATTTATTGTTTTAATCATTAAATTATTTCTACAAAAAACTTCCTCTATTTGTTGTCTTCTGTTTAATTTGCTTCATACAATGACAAGAGATGATTTAACGATTGATTAATTATGAGCTTAATTTGGCAAAGACTTTTAGACTTAATGATCATCATCATCATTTTTCTTTCTTTGAAATTTTCCATCTATAATGGGCAAAAAGAAATATAAACTTTATTCTGAATCCAGAATTACATCGTAATAACCATCTGCTAAAATGATATTTTTTGTTTTACTGCAATAATAATAATAATCATTATAATTTGTATATATGGCTAGACTTTTTTGTATCAAATAAACAAATGATTGGTAATTGGAAATCGATTTATTCATATTGTATTTCAAATTTGATGATCAATAATATTTTTTTTTCTCTGTAAAAAAAATAAAAACTCTAAAATCGTTTATGAATATTATTATTATTTAAATGATTGATTTATAATTAAGAATTAAATTCCATTTGAAATTCGACATAGGGAAAAAAAGTTGATCAGAATAAATTATTCTTGGTTTTTGAATACCTTCAACTTTATACATTTCAAATGTATAGATAAAAGGAAACTTTAAACGATTTTATCATTGTTTGAATAAAGTCTACACATACAGAATAAATCGAAAATTGAACAATTTTTTTTTGATAGAAAAATGGAATTGAATTGTAGGAAATTGCAAATATTGATGATGAGAATTATCTTCAATGTTATATCGACAGATTTGCGTGATTCGATCATATTAACCAATTGATGATGACGGGATAGGCCAATAATGATGATGATAATAATAATAATCGACCGAATCGAACTTAAAATACAAACACGAGAAAAAAATGAATCAAATACAGACAACTTGAGGGAGGGGGTAGAAATAGCCAAAATAGCTTCCAATTCCATTTGTATTATTGGCTATTATTATGTTTTGAATTGAAAATTCGTTGTTGAAACAAGATGAGAATGAGAGGGTGGTGGTTATCTTCCTGTGTGTGTGTCTGTTCGTGTTTGAAGATGATTTCATTCAATTCAATTCACACAATTTTTTGGGAATTTTTCAATCAAATGATGATAATTTGATCTTTTCATTCATAGTGGTGGATTTAATTAACAGAAAATAAGTACATCTGAAAAGATTGGCCTTCTGCTATTTTAATAAATGTAGTTTTTGACTATATTTTTGTATTTCTTTCAAGAATTTACCATTCGTGTTTCGTCAATTGAAAAAATCGTTTTATTTATTTCTTTCCTATAATAATCGCTGACACATTAGTTATTAAAAAAAATTTTGAAAAAACTAAAAAAATGAACTTAGATGACTTTTTTATTCTTATATTACTTCTGATTACTTCAAATTTTATTAACTTTTTTTTTTGTTTTTTTTTCAAATGGTTCAGGTGTGGTTTCAAAATCGACGTGCAAAATGGCGTAAACGTGAAAACACGAAAAAAGGTAAAGATTTTGTTGATGTTTTTTTTTTGCTTCTCAAACGTTATAATAATCGTTTTCTATTGAATTTCTTGAATTCTTATTTAATCTTAATCTTATTCTTTTAATTTACCACAGGACCAGGAAGGCCAGCGCATAATGCACATCCGCAATCATGTAGTGGTGAACCAATACCGCCAGATGAGGTTGTAAAACGTGATCGAGATAAAAAGGAAAAAAAATTGAAAAAACAATTGGAACGACAGGCCAAACGTTTATTGCAATCGAAAAATAAACCCGGTGTTAACACTGCCACATTAGCTGAGGCAATACAACAAACATTGTGCGAGATGCGTTGTCTAAATATTTATGCAAAAGAGCCGGAAACTTTGATTGGCGGTGAATTGTTCGCCCTGTTAGTTGATGCATTGACCACCGACGGGTGTAATGAGATTCTAAAAAATGTATTCGAAAATCGTATGAATATTCAATCGAAAAAATCAACATCATCATCATCATCATCGCCGTCATCTTCTATCAACTTTAGTAATTTCAATGCCGCAGCAGCAGCGGCAGCCGCTGCTGCTGCTGTAGCTGCTGCGGCCAATATGAATGGATCGAAAGCTGGTCTGACCGCTAATGGTAATTCACCGAATAGCTATTCTGCTTCATCTAATGTTCATCATCATACAAATCGTCATTATCATCTTCAGCAACAACAACAAGAAACAACCAAAACGAATCCGTTTTCGATTGATAATCTTCTATCATCGCGTCATGTATCCGGTTCATTATTTTCGGCAGCAGCAGCGGCAGCAGCTGCAGCTGCTGCCGCATCGATTACACAACCTGCCGGGTTTTTAGTCAAATCAAATAATCATAATGGAATCATGTCTATTGATATCGAAAATAATATGAACAAAAAGGATTATGAGGAATTTGATGATGAGATTATCGACGACGATGATGTCGATGATGACCGTATTGTAAGTGATGATGATGATAATCTAGGTGGCAATGATGTAGTCGATGATGATGATGATGATGATGAAAATGATGCCATCTCAAATTGTTCATATCGATCCAATAATTCCGATGGAACGGCTTTATTATCACCGAAAAAAAACAACATTAATGATAGCCATAATCATTCTCATCTTGATAATAATGAAAATGATGAACAAATGGAGCATAAAAATCAAAGACGATCACAACGAATGAGCAATGAATCTTCATCACCATTGGCATTAGCATCAAGTGATGATGATAATAATAAAAAAGAACAGTGCAATCCAACTGATCTCAGCATTATAAAAAATGGACAACATTCACCATCAAAATCACCGGTGCTTGAATTATTGGATGATGATAAAAAATATGAAAAAAATAATTCAACGATGACCAACGTATTCATCAACGATTAATCCAATTTAATTCTATCATATCGTCATCAGAAATCTATCAACATTTACAATTATCTTGGATAACGAATATCGACCGGATTGTTATTTTACTTTGATTCCACAATTGCACATTGCACATATAAATTTCAAAAATAAATTAAGCATAATACACATACATAAATGTCTCTCTTTCTCTTTCCACCACTAACTAGATAATCATTTATATGTATCAATCATATTGATTGTTTGATTGATGTGAAAAACAGAAAACGATTCTTTTATTCTTCACCTTTCCACTGTTATTGTTGTTATTATTAATATTATTAACTCCACCCATTCTTATTTACTCCATTTAGAAGCAATAATTGATTCTCTATTCGATTTAGAATCATATTTGACAAAGTTTAGCTCCTTTTTCCTTTCTGTTGTTGCCATACAATAATAATAATCTCCGAAATTTAGCAAAAGTTTCCAATTATTTTTCAAATGTAAAAATCACTTAAATATATACACAAAGACACATATCGACTAAACTAAACAAAAATCGATCACTTATTATAGGCATCTTATCATCATTACATCTATTTATGTGTGTGTGTGTTTGTGTTTGTGTAATTGAAAAAAATCTTGATTTGATACATTCATTTTTATTTCCATTTAAAAAACACCGAAATTCTTTCCACTTTTTTTATCACATCTCTCCTATCTCTTACTTATTATTTATACATATGATACTTATTGTTATTTATTTGATAACAACAACCAAAACAGAAAATGATTTGATGATGATGAATAATCTGTAAATATTATAATAATAACGATAATGATGATAATAAATAAATAAATAAATGAAATAAAACTTAGTTCATAGTTGTGAATTATGTCTATAATTTTCAGTGTTATGTCTGATTATAATAATTATTTTTTTCATTATTAGTTGGTCATCGTTTTGAATTTCATTTCAACAAAGTATGTGTGGTTTGGTTTAGAATGAATGGTTTGGTCATTCTCAATATGGATGCTTAGATGTTTACACAGGCAAAAAATTATATAGCTTTTGTTTGTCTGCTTAATATTTCATAATAATATTACTGCATAATTATGATTAAATTATTGTTCAATCGTGATATATTGATGATAATGTTCTTGTTATCGTTGTTGTTGTTGTTTGATGTAATTTAGCACGGTAATTCGTGCCATTTCAAACAAACAACACATTGGCTAACTGAATTTCTGAAAAAATAACCCAAAGCTTGTGATTATGAAGATGAAGAAAATTACTACTCATCATTATATTATATAGACCTTTGAGCTCCACGATTTGTGATTTGATCTAAATCAAATCATGTCAATGATTAATGGATTATAATTTTTTTCAATACTGTTTTTTTGGATTTGTAAATGGATTAAAATAATGGATGATAATAATAATGATTTTAAACCTAAATGTCGGATCATGATTTTTTTTTGATATCGTTTCTACTGCATGATGTTGATCTAATTGGACCAATTATGATCTCCTCTCCAAAGTTTGTTTGTTTTTTGTTTTTGTTCATTTGTTTGTTTAGTTAGTTGTGTGTGTAATTTTTTTTCTCGTTTCTGATTCGTGTGGTGAACAACAGCAAAAAAAATTTTTTGCGCACCCAAAACCCATGATACGACTCACCCAATGGCCAATTATTTAATTACATATCTATGAATCTTGAAGAAGATCTGATTATCATGTGTGTTTAAGATTCTTTCGCTATTACATGATCATTGTTTTTGTTCTTTTCTTTTTGTTAAAAAGAAAATTATTCAAACATGTGTTTTTTGTTTCTTTGAATTGGCCACATTATTAGATACTACTAATTCAATAAGAAATGATTATCATCACCATTGTTGTTGTTGAGGTTCTGTAGATCATCAAATTATTGTTATTATTTTGTAAAACGATATGTGATGGTGGCGAAATAAGAACAAAAAACTTCGTATTATATGTGATTAGAGAAAATTCAACGTGTTCATTTCGTGACCTTTTTTTTCATTTTTTTCTGATTGAATTTTTTTCAAAAGATTTTAACCATTGATTCGAATTTAATTTTTGATTCAATTTTCATTTTTTTTCACGAGATTTTAAATTTTATGAAAAACTAAAAAATAATCGGTGACAAGTAAACAAACCATAATGATATGTGCAAGTGAGATTCTTTTTTTGAATAAAATTTGAAAATAAATAATGATAGGCTGTATTTTGTATAAAAATTCAAAAGAAATTTTCATTTCTTTTCAAGCAAAAAAAAAAGGTAAAAATCAATTTAAATAAAATGGCCATTATCAATTCATAACGATTTAGATGATGATAATATTAGATGGTATTATATCATCATCATCATCATTACTATGAATAATGCTAAATTATCTTGCTCGATTAGTTGTAGAATGAATAAATAAGAAAAAGATTTGATTTATTCAATTTTTTTCTTTTCGTTTATTTGTTTCTTTTACTCTCAATCCTTATATAATGATGATGATGATGATTATGATCCAATGGGTCCATTTATTTAATGTATGCCGTTTTTTTCTCTTCTTGTTTGTTTATCAATACCAATTCCGATTATATGGAATAAAATTTTCATTGATTCAATCAAGATCATTTGTATGATAATAATGATGAAAAAAATAGAAGAAAGAAAATATTGTTTATCATTGTGTAATTGATGATGATAATGATTGTATCATCGAAAAAAAACTCGAATCTTTTCCTCTCTCCCTAAACACAATCACTTATGTGATTATTATGATTGGATATTAGAATTGTCATCACTTTCAACGCTATATATAAACCATTATCATCAATCGGATATCTTATGTTGTTGTTTTTCTGGTCTCACTATTTATTATTTTCAACAAATTCTCATCAGATTATTAATACAATAAATATATTACAATAGGATCATGACCCGGGTCGGTTGGCCTTTTTTTCTGTCCGATCATCATCATCATAATTGACATTCGGCATTATTCGATCAATAGATCAAAAAAAACAAACAAGCCCCAAACAAATACAAATATACACACACAAAACAGTATTGTATTAATATTTATTTAGACAAACAATAAACAATGCCATTAAAAAGCACTATACACATTCATTCATTCATTCATAAAGCTAACACATACTTCATTTACATAATAGAAAATTTTTTTGTTCCCCTCGATTTTTGATGATGATAATGACTAAAATCGGTAATCCGATTTGAGGTCGGTAAAAATAAAGTAAGTGGCAATGTTAACGATCTGATCCTATTCGATCAAAAACGTAAAAGAACAAAGATTGTCTATTTTGTATTGTGTCATGCCAAAAAAAAGGGGGGCACAATTTGAACAATGTTGTATAATAATGGAAACGCGTGCCCAACACGTGATCATCAATCGATGTTGTCGTAAGGGATCGTCGTCATTCAAATTAGCTTATCGTTGATACTAATGATGATAAACATTGAATACAGAATTGAAGAATAATTTTTGGATGAAAAAAATAGAGGCTAGTGAAGTGAAAAAAAAGAAACTTTCACGGATATCAAATGGCATGAAGATAAATCAGCTTGACCTTTTTTTTCTCCTTTTTATATCCTAGCCCATCATTGTATTTCCGATTTGTCATGAATTTGAGATTTTGCTTTTGTTGTTGTTGTTGTTATTCTTGGCCACAAATATTCTTGATAAAAAAATATATATTTCAATCACTAATGGAACAGCTCAACAAAAGAAACAACCGAATCAAATCATTATAGGCACAATAACATTATTCTCCAATCGAATAACAACAGCATGGATAATATTTTGCAATAAAAAAACTAAAACAAAAACACAAATCCAAACGAAAAGAAAGAAATACTGTAAAACGGATGACTTACGTGAAGAATCAACTTGTATAAATCGAGTAACATCATTGATACATTATTATTATTATATGATTCTATGGACATCGAAATAAACTGACTTAAATTCACTACATTCATTCATATTGATGACAATCAAACAAACATTTTCAGAAAAAAAACGGTTTATCACTAAAAATTTACTGTTATTCAACCATTAATGGTCTCTTTTTCTCACTAAATTGAAAGGCGATTTGTCATCCAATTTATCCCAAATGTGTTTGTGTGTAGTCACCTTTTTTCACATTGTATTTATTCACAAAAGACAGGAATGCTAATTTGTTTCCGAAAACACAACATTTGTAAAGACATATGTGTACGATAAAAAAGATCAATGAAAGATGATACCAATACTAATTTTAGCAATTCTATTCACATACATTACCGTATTTGATATACTTTGATTTTTGTTTCCATTTTGTTTCGATTTGAAACTAATCAAATTAGGCAAGGACACAATGATGATGATCGAAAAAATCGATCTCTGTAGACAATTTATCTTTGTCGTCGTTCGTTTTTTTTTCTGTTTGAATAATATATCGATATAGTCGGACGTATTATCATATTGGAATTTATTTCTATTTCATAACATGCGGATGCAAATTTATTTCCATTGTCTACATTTACCACACGAGAAATATATGTGATAATAAAAACCAATTTTTTTATTGGATAAGGAATCATCATCAATACTAGATCAGAAAATTATTTGGCTATGAATGAATTTTGCAATTTGAAACAGTTAGTATTTGTAAAATGAATTTAAATACAATCTATAAATGGGGACAATGAAGAAGGCAATGAAATTTGCCTCAAAATATCATTTAATGATAATCGAATTTCAAATTTTTATTTTTCCTCATCATCCATATGTGTTAACAGGGACAAAAAAAAGCCAGCTTATTATCATTGATGTAACGATTTTTCTATTTAAAATAAAGGTCAGTTGATAGGTGTTTTGTTCATATATCGTCACACACTGACAATAAATACAGTGAATATTTTGTAGAAATTATCAGGGAAATAGTGAATTACCTAAATGAAATGAATTGAAATCAAATTTTTTCTGTTTAAAATTTCATTTTACACTTTTTTAATTTTGTTTTGTTTACTTTTTTTTCTTCATCAATAGTAAATAAAAAAAATTGTGTTCATTTAATCAAGAAACATT